AAAGAATTTTTATTTTATCTTAGAGAGAAGAGGGAGCCATTGGAGCTTTTGAGTAGGGGAGTGACATGATGAGTCTGTGGTTTGTTTTTTTTTTAATTTGTTTTGATTTATCAACAATCACTTCCATATGCTTTTGAGTTGAAATTTTTTCTCCCCCTTCCTCCCCCCCACCCTCCCCAAGACGGCGCACAATCTGATATAGACTTTACACTTACATACCCGTTAAACATATTTTCACATTAGTGAAGTTGTAAGTAAAAATTAAAACCAATAGGAGGAACCATCAGCAAGATGAAACAAAAGTCAACAGAAGGTAAAAATAAGTGATAGCAATTCAACTTCCATAGTTCTTTCTTTGGATGTGGACAGCATTTTCCATCCCGAGGCCTCTGGAGATGTCTTACTCAGCATCAGATCATATAAGTCTTTCCAGTTTTTTCTGAAGTCAGCCTGTTCATCATTTCTTATAGCACAATAGTATTCCATTACATTCATGTACCCCAACTTGCTCAGCCATTCCCCAATTGATGGGCATCCTCTCAATTTCCAATTCTTTGCCGCCCCAAAAAGAGCTGCTATGAATATTTCTGTACATGTGGGTCCTTTTCCCATTTGTTTGATCTCTTTGGGATATAGCCCTAGAAGTGGTATTGCTGGGTCAAAGGGTATGCACATTTTTGTAGCCCTTTGGGCATAGTTCCAAATTGTTCTCCAAAATGGTTGGATCATTTCACAACTCCACCAACAATGTGTTAGTGTTCCAATTTTCCCACGTCCTCTCCAACATTTATTATTTTCCTGTTTTGTCATGTTGGCCAATCTGATAGGTGTGATGTGGTACCTCAGAGTTGTTTTGATTTGCATTTCTCTAATCAATAACGATTTAGAGCATTTTTTCATATGACTGTAGATGGCTAAAGCTCGGATCTACCTCTCTACTCAACTCCAGTGGCTCCCAGTCACCTCCAGTATATAAAATCCTCTGTTTAATGGAAGTTTTTCCATATTCATTATTATTTACAACTCCAGTGGTGTCAAACTGAAATAAAAATTAAACCATACTTGAGGATCTTTGTGGGGAGCATATTGACTTAGAAAACCACATATTATCAATTTCTATGTTCTATTATATTTTTTTAAATATTTCTTGACTACATTTTAACCAGATTGTGAGTAGCAGCTCTGTACCTCTGTAGAGTACAATAATATTCCATTCCATTTGTGTACCATAACTTGTTTAGCCATTCCCCAATCAATAAGCAGTAGGATAATGTCTTAAGGGGATAGTAAAGTGAAGACTTTTTTAAGGATGGGGAAAATTTGGCCATGTTTATAGGTAGCAAGAAAAGAACTAATCAGTGGTGAGAGACTGAAAATAAGAAGTGGAGGATGAGTTTGGGGGCAAGCTACTGGGGCAGATGAACTAGGAACAAACAGATTGAACTTGGTGAGAAGGGTCACCTCATTATCAGAGACTGGAGTAAAAGAAGGAAAGGAAGCAGAATGTTGTTAAGGGTTTTCAAGGTATAGAGGAAAAGAAAGAGCTCACCAAAAATGGACTCTTCCCTTACTAAAAAAAAGTGTGAGGCAGGGCCTTCTGTTGAGAGGCAGGGAGGACAGGTGACATAATAGGCTCAAAAAGAGAAGGTTCAGAACAGCATCTTTTGAGAGTGAGATAATAAACTAGGGAAGAATAAGAAGATTGCCTTGTTCCCAAAAGGTGCCAATTTGGATTAAATAACATAGATTTATAGTTGATTCATTCAGCATAGTCTTGTGATTTTCTCCTGTACCTTTCAGTAGGAATGGAGGAGTCATTTGGTAGGGTAATGTAGAGTTGAGGTCTGACTAGGCATGAGCAGAAATAGGACAAGAAGTTTTGTTCTTTGTAACAGGGAAAATCTTGCAGTCATTAAAAGCACTGTACAATATCTGAAATAAACCAGCTATTCATTTTGGGACCTAGTGATAATGTACACACACTCTAATGTACTAATTTTCTTAGTTGTGTTTTCAGTTGTATATCTTAGTCTGGATAATAGGCATTCCTCACCCACTTGGTTTTTCTTATGTGGCTAGTTATAATCATTCTTCTGAATGATTATAGATTTCATTTAGGAAGCTCTATAGTTTTCCAGGGCTTAATGTAATCAGAAAAATGACATCCCCAAAAAGGCCAATCTGGAAGACTTCATCATTTGTTGGGGATCCACCTTGCATTTGGACTTTGTTCTGGATGTTCTCTGTGACAGAGACAAAATACACACACACACACGCATATATACATGTGTATAAAGCATACATTTCCCTATTTTATGCTTTGCCTCATAGTAATAAGATGATTTCCAAAGTTATTATTATTTTTGGTTGTAAACCTAGATCCTTTGCCTTCTAGAATATCATATTCTAAACTCTCTGTTCCTTTGCAGTGGTGACTGCTAAATTTTGTGTTATCCTGACTGTGACTGTAGTACTTGAATTCTTTCTTTATGGCTGCTTGCAGAATTTTTTCCATAACCAAAGAGCTCTAGATTTTAAATATTATATTCCTGGGAATTTTCATTTGGAGTTTCTTTCTGGAGATTAACAGTGGATTCTTTAAATTTCTATTTTCCCCTCTGATTCTTTTTTTTTCCTTCAATGTTTTAAAAATTCAAGTGTATTTTTAATTCCAAATTATCACTTTCCCCCACTCATTGAGAAGACAAGAAAAACAAAATCCATTAAAAATACATATAATCATTCAAAATAAAATTCCAAAATTAACTATGTCCAAAACAGAAAGAAAAGAAGAAAATATGCACACTGACTGCATCAACTCTGTGTCTAGAGATGAATAGCATATTTCTTCACATGTAGTTTGGAATTGTAATTGGTCATTGTGTTTATCAGAGTTACTAAGTCTTTCAAAGTTGATTATCTTTATAATATTGCTATCATTATATAAATTGTTCTCCTGGTTCTACTTACTTCACTTTGTATCAGTCTATATAAGTCTTCCCAGGTTTTTCTGAAACTGTTCCCTTTATCGTTTCTTTTTACTTTTTCTTTCTTTATTATTTTTTTAAAGATCTATTTATTTATTTAATTTTAGTTTTCAACATTCACATCTACAAGATTTTGAATTCCAAATTTTCTCCCCATCTCGTCCCTCCCCCCATTCTGAATACTCCTTTCCCCTAATCTGCCCTCCCTTCTGTCCTCCCCCCTTCTCTTATCTCCTTCCTATTCTATTTTCCTGTAGGGCAGGATAGATTTCTATACCCCATTGCCTGCATATCTTATTTCCCAGTTGCATGTGAAAACAATTTTTTAACATTTGTTTTTAAAACTTTGGGTTCCAAGTTTTCTCCCTTCCTCCCTCCCCACCCATCATCATTGAGAAGGCAAGCAACTTGATACAGGTTATACTTATGTAGCCATGCAAAACACTTCCATAGTAGTCATGCTGTAGAAAACTAACTATATTTCCCTTCATCCTATCCCAACCTCCATTTATGCTATTCTCTCTTTTGACCCTGTCCCTCCTCAGAAGTGTTTGCTTCTGATTACCCCCTCTCTCAATCTGATCTCTCCTCTACCATCTCCCCACTCTCTTATCCTCTTCCTCCCTATTTTCCTGTAGGGTAAGATAGCTTTTTGTACCCAATTGTGTATGTCATTCCCTCCTTAAGCCAAATCCAATGAGAATAAGATTCACTCATTCCCTCTCTCCTTCTCCCACTTTCCCTCCACTCTAAAAGCTTTTTCTTGTCTGTTTTATGTGAGATAATTTACCCCATTCTACCTCTCCCTTTCTCCTTCTCCAAGTATAATCCTCTCCTACTCCTTAATTTTAGTTTTTAGATATCACCTCTTCATCTTCAACTCACTCTGTGCCCTCTCTCTATCAGTCTATCTATACATATAATTTTTCCCCCCACCAACTACCCTAATACTTACAAAGGTCTCATGAGTTACAGATATCGTCTTTTCATGTAGAAATATAAACAGTTCAACCTTAATAAGTCCCTTATGATTTCTCTTTCCTGTTTACCTCTTCATGCTTCTCTTGAGTCTTGTATTTGAAAGTTGAATTTTCTATTCAGCTCTGGTCTTTTCATCCAGAATGTTTGGAAGTCCATTATTTCACTGAATGTCCATTTTTCCCCTTGAAGGATTATACTCAGTTTTGCTGGGTAGGTGATTCTTGGCTATAAATCTGTCTCCTTTGACATCTGGAATATCATATTCTAAGCCCTGCGGTCCCTTAGTGTAGAAGCTCCTTCCTCATTTCTTAAAGCACAGTAGTATTCCATCACATTTATATACCACAGCTTGTTCAGCCATTCCCCAGTTGATAGTTATCCTCACAGTTTCCAATTCTCTCCCTGTACAAAAAGAACTGCTATAAATATTTTTGTGCATATGAATCTTTTTCCTCTTTCTTTGATCTCTTTGTAGTATAGATCTAGTAGTGGAATTGCTAGGTCAAAGAATAAGCATAGTTTAATAGCTTTTTGTTGCCCTCTAGTTCTAAGATATCTAGGTAGTTTTCTTTCATTATTTCTTGAAATATGTTGTCAAGACTTTTGTTGTTCATGGCTTTTGGATAGTATAATGATTTTTTTTTTGCTTTTTTTGGTGAGGCAATCAGGGTCTTGCCCAGGGTCACACAGCTAGTAAGTGTCAAGTGTCTGAGGCTGGATTTGAACTCAGGTCCTCCTGACTCTTAGGCCAGAGCTCTATCTACTGTGCCACCTGGCTGCCCCTAGTATAATGATTCTTAAATAGTTTGTTTTGATCTGTTTTCCAGGTCAGTTGTTTCTCCTATGAGATATTTCACATTTTCTTCTATTTTTTTCCAGCCTTTTGGACTTTGTTTTATAACTTCTGGATATTTTATGGAATCATTCATTACCATCTATTTGACCAATTCTAATTTTCAAGAAGTTATTTTCTTCAGTAGTTTTGTACCTCTTTTACCAAGCTGTTAATTTTCTTTGATGTATACAATCCAGGAAATCTGAGTCTCCTGGTCTGAGCTCTGCAAGTTCCTGACCCAGGTTTGGGTGTCTTGGCTTGTCCGTGGTTGAGTTTCATTAGACTTCTGCTGGATTCAGTCAACATTGGCCTGCTAGAAGTGCTGGCTTCCTTTGGTCTGTGACCCCTTCCCTGGTTATTCCACTGCAGGTTTATGTGCTGGACTAAAGGTGAGAACTGGGCTCAGAGCCACACAGCTGTGTTTCTGGAACTTGTTCCTTGCTCAGTATATAGCTAGAGCCCACATTCACTAGCTCCTCTCCTCCCTATAACTGTGTCGTGGAACTGGGTAACGAGCAACAAAGCTTTCAGATGGCATCTTACACTTAGCACTAGTTTAGGGCCTTTTTTCCATCCTTGTGTGCTAGAATGCTTTCCTCTCCACCACTACTTCACTTTCTCCTGGCCAGCCTCATTGCCAGTGTCCACAGAGCTCTGTGTTTCCCAAAGTTGTCCTGGGCTGAAAAATTTCTCACTATGACTTTTTCTTGACTTTCCCAATCAGAATTTGGTCCGGCACATTGTCTTTCTTTCTTTCTTCCTTTCTTTCTTTCTTCCTTTCTTTCTTTCTCTTTTTTTGTTGTGTTTTTGCTAGGCAATGGGGTTAAGTGACTTGCCCAGGGTCACACGGCTAGTAAGTGTTATATGTCTGAGGCCAGATTTGAACTCAGGTCCTCCTGAATCCAGGGCCGGTGCTCTATCCACTGCACCACCTAGCTGCCCCTCCGGCACATTTTCTAAGTCATTGTGGATCTGGAGGATCTAGGCAAAAATGCTTTTTCTCATTCCACCCTCTTGACTCTGCCTGCACAATGAGATCATATATTTTTTGCACCTTTCATTCTATTGTGTGACTGTAAAGATGTTGTCTACTAAAGAATATATAATACTTGTGAAAGCCTACCTGTTCCCTTCCCAGTAATTTCAAGGATGCAATTCATACCTGTATAGGTAATTCTCATATTTTGTAGAGTTGAGAAAGTAGAGCTGTTGGTGACAGTTGTTGGCATCCTCATGATATATCCTCATGACCTTTAGGAATAAAGTCCCTGATTTTTCCAAATATTTTATGTCCTTTCCTCTTTTGAGTATCTTGAGAATCAACATTATAGCAATCTCAAAATTTTGTCGCCTCCAGTGTTGAACTCCTCTGTGTATACTTGACTTATTTTAGCTTCTCTTTCCATCTTTATTTTCCTTTATGCCATTTCTGTTCATCATGTAGTATATTCAAAATTATATTAGAGTTCAAACATGTTAGCTCTGTTGCTATTGGTGAAGAAAAATGTTTGCCAGAAAAAATTTGACAAATCTTTCCTTGGAGGGGTAGGATGTCTGTCTGTGGTCCTTCAGTTTTCATCCTTATGAACCCTGAGGATGAGACTTTCTTGCCAAACTCTCTGAAAATTTTTTTTTCCTTTTGCTACTGATCCCTGTTTTATGAGATATTACTGCTAATAATCTTTGCCATTATCATCCATAAAATTTTACAAAAGAGTTTGTATTCTAAACTGGTGTTACTCTTGGCTTATACATCTATCTGCTTAGCAGGTAGATCAAATGTTTATTGACTAACGTGGTTTCAAGGCTGACTGATTTGATTTTTCTCCCTTTGTTGGCTGATTTACATGAGTTAAATTTCCTTAGCAAATGGTGATAGTCTTTGTCAGTATTTGCAGTAAAAAATGTCAGCTTGTATATTACCATAAGCATACCATGTACCACACATACCAATACTAGTTGGATTTTATAAATATGAAAAAATAATTTCAAGATATATTCTTCCAGAGTAAGCAATGTACAAATTAAGATGTGTTAAAACTGTGAGTAAAGGCTCTTTTTTTAAAAGTAAGTTTTTATTGATGTGTTTGGTATTTTTTATATCACCATAGTTTTCCCCAATATCTTTTCCCCTCCCAGAGAATCATCTCATATAACAAGTATTTTTTAAGACAAATAAAAAGAAGCAGAAAAATCAAATACTGATTAATACTGAAAATATGTGCAATGTATGCGGACCTCCTACCTCTGTAAAGGGGGCTGGGAGTGGGTGGGAGTGACTTCCCACGTCTCTTCTTTTAAACTGTGCTTATTCTTCATAATTTTGCTACATTCCCTTTGGATTTTTTTGGTGGGTCTTTCTGTTTACATTGTTGTTGTCATTGTATACTGTATATTTTTCTGTGGGCTCTGCTTACTTTACTTTGTATCACTTCTGTGCTTCTCTGTATTCATCACATTTTTTGAGTAAAGACTTAACTAGTCAGTTTCAATCCACTGTAAGATGCCCATACTAATTTTTTCTTTAATGTTGTCTTATACTAAGTCATGCGAAATTATATGGTTTTATTAGCCACATGTCCTTTGGGATAGTTTTAGTAACTTGTAGAATGACAGTCTTTTTACTTTTGCTTATAACAAAGGGAAGAAGTTGTCCTCTGCATGGAAAATGAAGCTTGTACGAATTCATGACAATGCTCTGGCATATTCAATGACTACTCTAGGAACTGGGATGATGAACACAGTCTTTAATTTTTACTGCATGCAGCTTTTTTTGAAGCAATACAAGCTTTCAGAAGCTGCCTTTCACCAGTCTCAGGTAAGAGAGTTCCCTCATGGTCCTTTGCTTTTGAACAGAGCTGCTTCTCCTCCATAGCAATGCAGTAAATAATGGGACATGTCTGTGAGCTATTCCCTGAAAGTCTGTAGGAGTTTGTATACACTATGGAAAGCAGTCTGGAATCCTTTAGCTGTGAAATCTTCAAGGTATCAAATGTTAATTCCATAACTGGTAGTGTAATACAGTGTTTTTAAAAACTAATTACCCACTTGTGTAGGATGAATTTGCCAAGTGAGTAGTCATGTTCATTATGTGTCAAACAGGGAGGTTGAAACTGGTTGCCATAAACACACAAACGTTTACAAACGATAACAACTCATCTGTCTACAAGTAAGTCATCTAGCAATTTAATCCCATTGGTAATATACGAAACCATAAATAAGAAAGAAAAAGGCCCTCCACCGATAGAAACAACTCTTAAAAGCCTTTGTACTAGAACTTAAAATTTTATTCCTTTAAGATTGTAAGACTAGGGCAGCTAGGTGGCACAGTGGATAGAGCATTGGCCCTGGAGTCAGGAGGACCTGAGTTCAAATGTATTAGATACTCACTAGCTGTGTGACCCTTTGCAAGTCACTTAACCCCAATTGCCTTTCCCCCTCCAAAAAAAAAATAATCATAAGACCAGGAGTTCATAACCTGGGTTCCAAAAGCTTATTTCTAAAAATGTTTATAATTGTATTCCAGTATAATTGGTTTCCATTATAACCTTGTGTTTTTTTTACTTTATACATTCAAAAACATTCTTCTGAGAAGGGGGTTTCACCAGAATGCCAAAGGTAGTCCATGACACAAAAGAGATTAAGAACTCCTGACTTTAGAGCCTTATTGACTCTTATTTAGTATAAGCTTTTTCTTTTCTTTTTTTTTCCTAAAGCTTGATTATATAGCTTCCCTGAATGTAGCATTTTAGAAACAACAAACTAGAAGGCATTGGATCTAGAGATTTGTTTCAGGAGGCAGTTTCAGGACCAGCGAGGGAGATGGCAAAAAACAAAACTATAGACAAACAAAAAATCAGACTACATAGAACTATAGTATTACCCTGCATAATAATATGTGTTAACAATAATAATGTTTAATAATCGAAAAAAAGTTGAATTATGTTCAGTATTTATTGTTTGAGAGGCAGCCTGGTGTAATGATTAGAGAGCTGGACATTGAATTAAATCTGAGTTCAAGCCCCTACTCTGGAAAATACTGGCTCTGTGACCCTCAAATCACTTAAATTCTTAGGCAAAGTTGAAGAGCAGTTGCTGTTCTACAATAATTGAGTTTCCTCACTGAAAGTTCCTATGCCAATGAGAAGTTAAAACCAAAAAAATCTGTTAATTAAGCAGAAGGTAAATACACAGTGAATTTTCATCAAAGATAGATAAAATGAAAAATTTAACACCTAGTAGAATATCATTTATATATAGTTCATTTTCTGATAAGGCTAGATAACTAAAATGTTACTATATATGCAAAATAAGCAAATGTTGACATATTGACTTCTTTTTATAGGACTATTTGTGTTGAAACAAAGTGTTAGTAGCTGTTGGGCATTTGTCAGAAGATGGATAAAGAAAAGACCCTTAAATTTTAGAATCGCTATTTATAATGCTATTTTGTATGTCACAAAGTTTGGCATTCATTTCTGATAATAGCATCATGATTCCTTTGTAGAAAGTAAAGATTGGTATCTTAATTTTCCTGGTGGAGTTATAGAAGAACAAGGTTGTTCATCAACACTGATCTCAAAGGGATCTTACAGTTTTAACATGCATGCCCCCTGCTGGTTCTGAAAAGAACTTGATAAATTTTAGTGTTATTTTGATTTGTTGGAAATGCAGAGTCATAGGCGCCTTAGGGATCATTTGACTCAGCCTGTTCCCATAACAGATGAGGAAACTGAGGAATAAAAATGTTCTGATTTTCATCCAAGGTCACACAGCTAGGGTCAGAGATGGGATTGGAGCACATGACTTTTGGCTTTTGATTGAGTGTTCTTTCTACTGTAAGTGCCTTTCATGGCTCACTGTTTCCAGAGGCTCAGTAGCCTGGCCCAAATCACAGACACAATTGCTAGAAAACAGCTTTTATCTTACTGATCAATGCACAAGACGACTGAGACTCCTTGCATTCTAGGTAATACTTAAATGACCCAGCTGTCCATTCTAGGACATCTCTAGTATTTGCTGTGCTACCAGGGACACAACCTAAAAATAAATACTTGATTACATTAAAAGAAAAGTTTTGGGCTGCTTTTTAGCTTATTTCTGTATTGACTGAACAATCTTGCATGTTCTTTTTTTTCTTCTAGGTAATTTTTATGATCTGGAACGCTCTTAATGACCCTCTTTTTGGATATATTCAAGACAATGCCAAGGCATCTTGCTGTTCAGGACGCCAAATTGCTATTTTGTATGGTGCCCCTTTCTATGCATTGGCTTTCCTACTTCCTTGGTTCCCTTGGAAACACTACCAAGAAGGCGACTGGCTTAGCGGGCTTCAGCTTGTGGTATCCTTATGCGCTTTTGATGGCATGTTGACGTTTGTACAGCTAGCCCAGTGTGCCCTGTTTGCAGAGATTTCCACTCAACACGAGAGCAGACTTCAGCTTGTTAAATATAACCAAGTGGCATCACTAGTGGGATCCACCAGCACACTTTTCTGTGGCCTTATTTCTGATAACATGGAAAATTTACCCCATTTCCAGGCTTTTTCCATTGTCATTGCTATTCTTGCCACTGCCTGCCTTTTTTATACTGGTATTTACAGTATGAGTCACTATGAACTTAAAGGAACCCCTGGAGAAACCAGTATCTCAGAAAGTAAATCAGAACTCTCCTGGGCCTCAGCCATCTCATTGACCAAAGAGATACTGGCCCAGAAAAACTTTCTGCTTTTCTTGGCAATGAATTTCTTCCAAGTCCTCCATTTAACCTTCTTCAGCAACTTCATGATGGTCTTTGCAGATAACCTCATCCCCAAAGATGCTCTTTCTTCTTCTGTGAGGAGCGCCATGTATGGGGCAGGGCTTATTTGTCCGCAGGTACGTAAAAGTCTTTTTAATCTTTCCTAGGATGAAACAAGACTTAACTCTTTGCCGGCTTTAAAGTGAGCAGTGCCCCAAACTAGCCATTGTCAGGAGACCAGAGAAAGGAGGAAATAAAACAAATGCAAGTAAACATCTGATCATCGTAATTTGTTGTTGTTGGGGGTCATCATTGTATGCAGAGAAGCAGAAACCTTGATGACATCATGGAGAATCAGAGAATGTTCAGGGAGCTTATCATTTTTTTGTCATAGGATGGACTTATCTGAAACCAAGAACTATTTTCGCCAGGTCATTGTATATGTCCAGCAGTCATAGGTATTGCTCACTTCTTTCTGTGTTACAGTCTTGTCTTTCCCTGTATAATCAACACCCTCTGTTCCCAGAAGTTTCTGCAGTCTTCAGTCTAGCCCAGGTGACAGGAGTTAGGCAGTCGAGGAGAACTAAAGCTTAGATTCGACCCCAGTCTCATAGAATTTGTTGTCTTGGCTCATAGATGTAGACCTAGAAAGGCCCAGAGAAAGAAGTCATCCAGTTCAGCCTCCTCTTTTTACAGGTGAGGGAACAGGGTTTAGAGACGGTAACACAAGTTATACTTGTTCACAGCTACACAAGGTAGAGTGAGGATTCAAACCCAGGCCTCCTTACTCCAAATCCAGGGCACTTTCCATCGTTCCATGTTGTTTAGAAGACAATAGGATAAAAAAAAAATATCTGTAATATACAGTGTTTCATAATAAATGAATTAGGTATAAAACAAAGTGCTATGTGAGGTCCGAGGAGAACAGCCATTACCAAAAGGATCAAGAAGGCTTTCCTTGAAAAGGTGGCATTTAAGTTGGGCTTTAAAGAACTAACAGACATTCATCCAGTAAAAGGAAAGGAGTACATTCCAAGGTTGGGAATGGCCTGAGCAAAAGCAAGAAGGGAGGAAACTTAATGGGCGTGTTTGGGGACACTCTAGCTTGGCTGAAGCTTTGAGTGAGTAGAAGGGAGTGATAGGAGATAAGGCCAGAAAGGCACTCTGGTACCAGATTGTGAAGGACTTAATTGTAGGACAAAGGAGTCCAAACTTCACTGGGTAGACCCGAAGGAGTCACTGAAGATTTTTGAACAGAGCAGTGACCTGACCGGCCTTCTATGTGTAAAGAAGATTGGTCTGTAGCCAGTATGAGAGATGCATTGGGGATGGGGAGAGAGGGGAGTCAGTGAAGATAGCAGAGTCAGAAAGATCTTTTATGCAGTTATCTTTGTTTCAAGGGGCTTCCATTTCACTAGAGGTATATATCATTTAAACATAAATAAATACAAGATTATTTGAGGAAAGGGAGAGCACTTAGAACTAGGGAAATAAGGAAAGATTTCCAGTGGGAGATAATACCTGAGTTGAGCCTTAAAGGAAGCTAAGGACCCTAAAAGGCAGAGGTGAAGAGGGACTATGTGTCTTAGGTATGTGGGACAGCCTAATTTTGACTTAACACTATTGAAGTTGAACACAACTTTAGTTAATTAGGCAGATTTAATCTTGCTTTTCCAGTCACTATAAGAGTACCTTTGGTTTGCCATAATTATTGATACATTAATGTTTAAGCTATTAGCCATCATATTACTAAAGAAATTACCAGACCTAATTGTGTTTAAAAGGTTATGTTATATAGATTTATATACAGTCATAGATTTGGAACAGACATTAAAAAAAAAAAAGGAAAATTTCAGGGAGGAAAAGAGGTAGGCAAGGAAGGATGGGAAAAGATTGGGAAAACCCAAAGAGAACAAAACAAGACAGGATTATAGGATCATAGATTTAAATCTGTAAGGGACTTTAAAGATCAGATATTTTAAGCTCCTTGAGTGATGCATCTCAAAGTCATCAAAGTGCCTGCCAGGTATTAGGCTCTGTGAAGATAATATCTAGGTAAAACTTTATGGGTCTTTGTAGTCTATTAAGGGTGATAAAACACTATTCACAGTGGTAGGAGGGCCTGAGTGGAGGCCAGAAGGCCTAAAATCTTATTGCATTAATCCATGCAGGTTAAATAAATGTCTGTACTGGTGATAATATTGGGAATAGACAAGAGAGAATACATGTAAAATGTATTATAAAAGAATAATCATCAGGACTTGGTAACTGAATAAAAGAGGAAAAGGAGAGGCAAAAATTAAAAATAACACTAGACTTTTGAATGTGATGGTCCAGTAATCTTGACTTAATGTTTATACGAAGATTTCCCCTAGAGTTTTCTCTGAAGTTTTGGCAGACCTGTGGAAAATTAACTAAGCAGTTTCCTCAGTGTGGGTCCTGATTGCTTCATTTGGGCATTTAAGATTCCTAAGTATATCCTTAGTTAAAAGAGGTTTTTACCCAAAGGATCTTGGTCCAATTTTCAGGCTAAGGAGAACTCAGAATATTCCCAATGGTTGTTGAAATAACTGTGGAGATGGCTAGTTTATAATAACTGTACATATTAATTTTTTAAAAGATGATAAAGAAAATCTGCACTAATAAAGCCTTAGTGTCTGTAAAAGCTGAATCTTAGTGCCTACAGAACCTAACAGTAAAAGTTTGCTGTGACTTTATCCCTGTTTCTCAACCTTAGTGTTAAAACAAGGTTTTCTACCTTAATAAAACCAAGTAAAATTTCATCTGTCAAGGACTCTCAAAGTTTTCCTGTAGTTGAGAATTTATTCCCTTTAAATATGAATAACCTTATTTTAGCAATTTTGGATGCAGATATTTCTAAAGCATATAATGGCTTCCCCACTTTATTAAGCTGAATATCATTTAATTCCTTTACGTTTCAATTCCCTCATCTGTAAAATGAGAGGACTGGCCTAGATTATCTCAAAGGAGCCTTCAATTTTTCCTACAAATTTCAAATCTTATCTATATCTCTTAACATAATCTAACTTTCTCTTAATGACTCAAAATCATCATTAGGAGCGTTACTTCTAATATGGTCTGTTGAAGTGTGAGTACAGTTTGCCTGCACACAAATGGACCCAAATTGCTGTGCTTTTTGAGTTTATGAGCTTTTTTAAAAGCAACTTTCTTTTCCATTAAGCTGCTAGCAGTTCACTTCTCAGTCCTTTTAGGGCAACTGAGTAGAGCATCTCCTTGTTGCTTTTAATATCCCCTGGACTTGAAAATAACCAGACTTGTCAGAATTGTATATAAAATAAGAGTAAATGAGCTTCAAGTAAGAGATTGTCCTATGAGTGAAGTGCAAAAGCTTTAATGTATGTGTAAAATAGCACTGTCCCTTTTCATAAGAAGCAATTAATGAAGAAAAGGGCAGGAAAAGTGTCTTTGTACAAAGAAATAAATGTACATTAATTGTCAGAGAATGTGAGATATTGCCGCTTTTGTGGGGTGAACATTTTGATACCTAATATAATTAGGGCAAAGAACTTTGTTTTAACATGAACTACTAAAACATACATATAAAGAAAGAAACAGCTTTCAGATGGCATTTGGACAGGTTTTTTCCCCCCCACTTAATAGTATTTTATTTTTTCCAATTATGTGTGAAGATAATTTACAACATTCACTTAAATCCAAGTTCTGTTTTAGTCTGAAGGCCTTATTTTAGTTTTATTTATTTATTTATTTAGGCAGTTGGGGTTAAGTGACTTGCCCAGGGCCACACAGCTAATAAGTGTCAAGTGTTTGGTCTCAGGTCAAATTTGAGCTCAAGTCCTCCTAACTTCAGGGCCAATGCTTTATCCACTGCGCTACCTAGCTGCCCCTGAAGGCCTTATTTTAGCACGCTCAAATCTCTGTGGATCAAAATACTGAACTGAGTTGCTTTAAATGGACTTTCAAATATAGACAATTTCTTTTCATTTTTCAAATAGGGTATATAGAAGTAATGCTTTCCTCAGTTACTGGAGTAGAGGATTAACAGTCAGTTGTTTGTTTAAGGTATTTTAACAGTGACTTAGGTATAATAAAGACAGATGCATTGTATACTAGGCCTATAGATTTTCATTTTTTCAAGCTGACTTCTCACTAATGGCAAATAGTACTCATGAGGTAAATGAGTAAAAGGATACAAGAAAAAAAATAGTAATTTTATATATCCACTGCCCTTACATCTGCCCAACCAATTAAATTTAGCAAACATCCACTAAGTAATTTCTGTAAGCACAGCACTGTCCTCACTACCCCTTGACTTCATTTAGTCATCTGTGACATGTTTGCCAGATCAGTGATGGAAACAGAATGCTCTCAAACGCCTGTTCAATAAATATAAAAATTAAAAGCCCCCATCCTCAATTTGTGTAAGATGGACAGTGGTACGGGGAAGGAAGAATAATTTTTTCATGCTTTTTGTAACATTCTAAATTGCAATCTGAAAAGATTTCTTTTGGTATATGTTTTTTAAACTTAATTTTAAATTATGAAGTTCCCCCACATCGTACATCTAATAGTGGGATGTAAAGCAACCTCGTTTAAAAGAGTAAACTTCTATGTTCCCATAAAATTAGCATAAGGATAAATATAATAGAGTCATGAAACTTTGTATTACAGTAAAACTCGAAGAAATACCTAGAATTACATAGATCAATAACTCGATGTTTCAGGTATTCCCAAAGAAGAGCTATTATTTCTTAAAACGCAATAAGTCAGACTTAGAAATACAGCAAAAAAAAATGTTTAATGTAGTGTAATTAACCTGTTATTGATAGAAGGAGGTATAGTAGCAAATTCAAGGCTGTCAGCCCAATTGAACCTTTATAAAAAGAAAGAATGAGAGGCTAGGGTAGGAAGCATCATAAAGAAAGGTTAAATTGGAATCATGAAGTAATACATCCCATTTGTTTTCTTTGAATTTAGGAAGTATATTTCTCTAACTTACAAAAGTGCTTGCACGTAGTGGGTACTTAGAGTTTATTGAATTAAATGACATATTCTGAAAACTCCTGAGTTTATCAGAGATGGATCATGAAATATACCCTTCATTTTTCATGTATGCATTATGACTTTAGATTTGCATCAGTCAGACCACGAATATTATACCATTACCTCTTCCTTTTTTAAGCAGTGGATTCTTTTAGGTGATTGATTACATTCTATAGGAATTTTCATGTTTGCATATAAATAAAATTATGAGAGACCATTTGCAGCTTTTCATAGGAATAAAACAATAAATCGTTTCATTAGTTGCTGGATATATTCATTCTTTGATGGATTTTTTGAAGCTGGCAATACATAGTGAAGCAACCTTCATGGGGCAGAAAGAGCCTGAATGTGTTCTCAGAAAACCTTTTAAGTACTGGCTCTGCCACTTTTATCACTTTGGGCAAATCACTTAACCTCTCAGTCTCAGTTTCTTCATCTGTAAAAAAAAAATAAGAGAAGTCATGCTTTCATCTCCTATTTCATGTTTGGGCTGTTGTGAAGATCAAATAGGAGAAATGACATATGCCTACAGACCAGCTACATAAATGGCAGTTTTATTATGACAACCTTTAATAGCAGCTCTTTCAGCTTGTGTGCTAATAGATATATTGAGATATAGCCATCTTATTGGGCTGAAAATTCTCACCTGGAAAAAATATTGTCAAAACTGTAAGGCACTATGTAAACAAGAATTATTACCTGTGGGCAATAATTAAATTAATAATTAATATCAGCTATTTAATTTAACTATTTTATATATAAATTAATTATATTAATAGTTAATAACAATTAAATGAGAATCATGAGAAAGTCTGGCCCTTCCTAACCCAGTGTCATTCTCCTTCTGTTTCAGTTTCTTGTGCTCCTCAGCCACTCCTGGCTCAGGAAGTTTGGTTACTATAAGGTTGTTTTATTTTCCTTCTATATAGAAGGAGCAGCTGCAGCTGTGATGTTTGTCCTGGGACAGGAACACTATTACATTTTGGCTTTTTATCTCGTAGCTAACATGTAAGTACAATGTTCCTGATCCTAAATCCACAAATATTTGCCAGTTAAGAAAAGAAAAAATTTGAAGCTTGCATTAATTCTTTTTGTTCACTCTTTCTAAGGTAAAAAAAAAGTTCTTTGACTGGTCTTTCTATATTTATCTACAGAAGAGATTAGTTTCAGAGCAGCAAGATAGCACATATTGGATTATATAGCTCCTCTTGGCTTTTCATTGCTAAATGGTTGAGGCAGAGTCCAAATATAATATTGAGGTAAACCAATCCCTCACCCTTCCTTTCTTTACCCTTTTCTCCCTTTTTTCAGTAAACTCTCTTCCCCTACTAATGCTCTTTCAAATTAATTCATGCTGGTGTTAGTGACACATATTTTTGTTTTAAAGAGAACACTTAGAAAGGATAATGGGTAACCCATATTGATCTTTGATGATGAGGTTTGGGCTGCATTCCTCTCAAATTGTTCCATATCTTTGTCTACCTATTTCATCTATAAAATTAGGGATTCTTTGCATTAAAAATCATTTCTACAGATTTTTAGAATTAAAGCAATGTATCTTTGATGGATAATTATTGGAAATTCTGTTAGAAATTTATTTTACTTTAACTTAGGCTTTTTTTTCCATTTCCTTATCATATTTGACTTTATTTTCCCCTATTAGTACCTTACATGTCCTGTTCTTCATGCCAAGAGAAAAGTCTCAGATGTGTTTCTATGGCATATTCTGTTAATTAGAGCTTATACCAGCAATGTGAGCCAAATTTAATGAGCTGGTAATGGATCTTGGGGATTTTAGCTTGAGAAAAAAGTAGTAGGGTTTTTCTTTCTGTCCAAAAGGAAAATAATTGTTTAGTTATTTTTTAGAAACTGTTTCATATTTTCAAGAGAAAAAAGTAGGGTATTTTTTTTTCAATTCAAAAGGAAAATAAGTGTTTAGTGTTTTCTTAGAGGGCAGCTGGATGGCTCAGTGGATAGAGGTCTGGGCCTGGAGTCAGGAAGACTTGAGTTCAAAACCAGCCTCAGACACTTACTAGCCATGTGACCTGGGCAAGTCACTTAACCACTGTTTACCTGAATCCATTGGAGAAGGAAATGGCAAACCACTGGAGTATCTTTGCTAAGAAGACTGCATGGACACATATTCCCCAATGGTCCATGGATTCACAAAGCGTTGGACACAGCTGATCGACTGAAAAACAAAAATTTTCTTAAAGAAGTTATCTCCTTAGGGTTATAGTGTTTTCTGTTGAAGGCTATGCTTATTGTATATTCATTTAGGGAATGTGTGTACTTTTATTTCTGTAATTGGTGTTGGAGCATTCTTTGTGGCCGGAGGACCTGTGTGCAATTTTGTGGATACCTCCCAGAACTTCTCTAGCTCGTACTCTCATATCAGGAAACGCAGAGAACATCAGTATCTGTTTCATTTTGCTTCCTCAAGTTCTTAAAACTTAAGACATTAAATATAGAAAAGATTTTATTTATACCACACCAAAAAAAAACTGGAAAGATTAACTGAGCACATAAACAGTCAAGAAAACCTCTTACTGTGCTCTCAAAGGCATTCATATAATCCTTCTTACTGATATCCTGTATGGCTGTGGTTTGCTTGTCACCCTTTCCTGCCCAAATGTACACCATTCCCATGGCTCACAGAACCAGAAAAAAGTAAGGTCTGGGTTCCTTTCTCCTGGTCATAGTTCTTTGTTGGACTGCTCTTTAGTTCTGACTTTTCCTATGATCCTTGCTCCTGTAGTTTCCTGCCGGTTATCTTTTTTCTTTTTCAATACTTGCTTGTTCTGCTACTGATTTCATTTTTTTTTTCTGATAAAGGAACTCATTCAGACTTATAAGAATAAGAGTCATTTCCCAGTTGATAAACAGTCTAAGACTGTAACAGTTCTCAAGGAAAGAAACCCTGGCTATCTGTAACCATATGAAAAAATGCTCTGAATTACTACTAATTTAAAAAAATGCAAAATAAAGCAGTTTTGAGATTCTACCTCACACCCATCAGAGTGACAAAGATGACAAAAAAGAAAAACTATAAATGTTGTAGGGCTTTGGGGAAACAGGCACATTGATGAACTGTTGGTGGGCCTGTGGATGAGTACAGCCAGTATGAAAAGCAGTTTGCGTTATCTATAAAAAGTTACTAACAGTACATGCCCTTTGATCCATTATAACACTGATAGGTCTGTTTCCTTCAAAGATCAAAGAGATATGTGTAAATATATATATATATATATATATGAGGGGTTAAACTAAGGGGACGCCCATTAATTGTGGAATAGCTGAACAAGTTATGGTTTATGAATGTGATGGAGTCTCTATCATGCTGTGAGAAATAGAGAATTTAAAAGAAACATTAAAAAACTGATACAAAGTAAAATAAACAGAACCAGGAAACAAATTATATGATAACATTAGTATTATAAAAAATCAATTTTGAGAAATTTTATAAACAGATTAATAATGAAATGAGCAGAACCAGGAAAAGAATCTTTATATAACAACAACAACACTGTAAAGGCAAGCAACTTCAAAAGCTATAAGAACCATGATCCATACAAGGACCGTCCATAATTCCAAAGGACTGATGATGCAACATATTCTCCACCTCCTGACAGAGAAGTGACAGATTTTTATTTATTTATTTATGTGTTTGGTTGGTTGGTTTTGGTGAGGCAATGGAGTGAAGTAACTTGCCCAGGGTCACACAACTAGTGAATGTCAAGTGTCTGAGGCCAGATTTGAACTCGGGTCTTCCTGAATCCAGGGCTCTATCCACTGCACCATCTAGCTGCCCCAAGGTGACAGATTTAGAGTAAGATAGAATGGGACATATTTTTGTATACAGGCAAGGAAAGAATTTGTTTTGCCTGATTGCATATTTGTTGCAAGGAATTTGTTTTTCTTTTCTCTTTTTTTCAGTAGAGTGAGAGGTGAGAGGGAAAGTTGTTGTTGTTGAGTTGTTTTAGTTATGCCCAACTCTTCGTAACCCTATTTGGTGTTTTCTTGGCACAGATACTGGAGTGGTTTGCCATTTTCTTCTCCAGTTTATTTTTATAGATATGGAACTAAGGCAAACAGGGTTAGGTGACTTGCCCAGGGTCACACAGTAAGTGTCCAAGGCCAGAGCCTGACTTCAGGTCTACCACTCCAACTACTGTACCGCTTAGCTGCCCTCAGGAGAGAAAATAGGTTTCTGTTAATTTTTTCTTTTTAAATAGAGATGAGAGTGGTACTATAAATGTGGAATGTTGCCTGTACTTTCAGATGAGGTGAAGTTAGTTTTACTTAATTGTTTTACTTTGTTATAAGATACTTCTCATGGAGTGAGGGTGATCTGTAAATGCTCGAAATACAAAAACAAAACATGATTAAAACCTTTTTTAAAAAAGTAAAATCTCCATCTAACACTAGCTGCCTACCTCTAGGGGCTGCATGAATGTCAGTGCAGACCTCTCCAGGTCTGTGTAGAGCCTGTGTCTGTCTGAGCCAGTAACTTTTGATGGCCACATCTGTGTCTGAATCTTTGTGGTCTGAGTGATGTCCCTTACTCAAGAGTTGTTTCCTTCTTGCAAATTGGCCCTGGACTCTTCTCTTCATGAGAGGGAAAAAATTATTAGCCAGCTCTTCCTGGTGTACATATGTCCTCTGTATTTTATTTTCTCTTTTTTAAACCAAATATTGACTTTTCTTGATTTATTTCTAAAAAACAAAACAAACCTATGATTCTGATAACCATTGTCATGTGTTTATTTTCTTTTTCTAGGGTAGTAGTTCAAGCCTCATTTAGTTTATTCAATTTGCCTCTGGCTGACATCATTGATGCAGATGTACTGAAATTTAAACGGAAGTAAGTTCCTTTGTAATAATGACTGTAAAAGTCAACATGTGTAGACCAGGACTGTAAAATTTGCTGCATTTCAGTTGTGTTTTCATCTGCAAATCAACTTCAGTCATAGATTTAGAACTGGAAGGGACCTCAGAAGCTATCTAATGCAGCCTCCTCAATTGATAGGTGAGGATGCTAGGGCTCATGGCAGAAATGGAATAGTTTATTTGTAGGCATAGAAGTGTCCTTGAAGAAGACCATCAAGTGGCCATTTTTAAAAAAAACTTTCTATTCCTTTTAAAAGTTGTGTCACTTTGAGAGAGCTCATAGGACCAGGATAAGAAACAAATATTGGCATTGGTAGTTTTCACCCCTTTCCTGAAGTGATTTTATAATTTTGGGGAGGGCAGGGAATCAAATTACAGCCAATACTAAGAAAGATTTACTTTCAGACCTGAGAGACAACAGAAGTCAGCTGCAAGTCAGTGTTGAACCATATTAACAATTAAAGAACAGATTTTACCTTTCTGTTGTTAATAAAGACCAAAAGGGGAAAATAGTAGCAGCAGCTGACAATTGTATGTCAACTTAGGGTTTACCAAGTTTTTTACATGTAATCTAATGTGCCCCATTTTATAGATGAGGAAACCAGGTTTCAGAGAAATTGTGACTTGCTTAAGGATCACACAGCTAATAAATATCTGAGCCAGGATTTACCCTCAGGTCTTCCTGACTCCCTAGTCCATGCTCTAGACAGTATGCTTCTCTCAAGAGACAGGTGTCATCAGTGGCAGTCACACCAGTGGTTTGACTTAGCTGTTTGGGGGGAAAGTACTTTGTTGATAAGCATTTGTTTCATCAAAATGAAATGTATCAATGAAAATTTTCGTAAAAATAAAAATGCCCTTCCCCAAAGATAAAAAGATTTACTTCTCAGAAACTTGAAATCATTTACCAACTAGTACATGTCTGACACAAAGCTTAAATTCGCTTTTCCTGTAAAAGAAGAGATTGAACTTTTGCTCCATGACACCTCAAGAACAAAATTCAAAGTCCATGTTTGTTGCTGTTTAATTGCCTACCAGACATTTTAAAAATTAATGAGAAAAAAAATTTTTTGGCCTGCTGCAAAGAGGTCACTCGCCATTCAGACTTGCCTTAAAGTTCCAGCTGATTCCCTTACATTTCCAGTGTCTTGTATTGTTTTAGTTTGGAAAGCAGTAGGTGAGTTTGAGACACAGACTTGATACATTTTCATTTGAGCTCTTTTGCCAAGGAAAGAAGCCACACTCACCACTCAATTGATCAAGGCTGTTTATTGGCAAAGATACTCGATAGGAACACATGTCCTTCACTTACCCTTACCTCTGGCTCCGGCAAAATTACCACTTAGTCTGTATATTTTTGGTTACTGTTGTTTCATAAATAGTTCATACCCTATACAATTTCAGTGTGTTAATTGTTTTTTATTCCATAAGATGTTCTTTAATTGATTAAAAATAATGTGATAACCAGGTAACAGGATTTTCTCCTAGGCCATGCTCAGCAGAAGCTGGGCTATGTCACCATGGCTTTAGGCCCCACGTCCCATGAGGCATAAAGATATTAAGATAAAACTAAAAGACCATCTGATAACACTTTGCATTGAACCATGAGATTTATCAGTACCTCAGACTTATGCAAACTTATTTTGATCATTAATACATAACATCTGTTTAAGAATCAATTCATTTAAATACTACGGGGTGGAGGGGCATGTAAATATTCATCCTTTTGGTTGGCTTTTCTGATTTTATTCATCTGTTTTCAAACAGTGCTTCTATTTCAGGTTCCATACATGAGTGAATAGATGTCAGCATTGGTTGAGTATGAAATGGATTTTTTCTGATCTTATCCATTACAGATCACCCCTTTCCTCGATGGTTTTTGGAACCAATGCTTTGTTTACCAAACCTGCCCAGTCTTTAGCTCCTATGGTTATAGTCACTGTGTTAAACCAGTTTGGATATGAGCAGCTAAACAAGAAGTCCATACAGATTGATCCCAGGTAAAGTACCTTAAAATTTTGAAGAAGCAATGGGAAAGTTGTGGGTATTTGTGTTCACTTCAACAAACGTTTATGGGAGGCAGCATGGCTTAGCGGGATGACAGCCAGAGTCAGAATGACCTGGGTTCAGGTCTTAACTCTGACATGTATTTGCTGTGTTACCCTAGGAAACTCATTTAGCCTCTCAGTGTCCCAGGCAACTCTCTAACATTTTAACTTGTAGGATAGTTGTCCTGAGGCATTGTTAAAGTTTCCTCACCCCAGAGCTCATTTCACCAATAAAATCACAGGTCCAAGAAAAGAAAAATGACAAATGTTGGAGGGGATGTGGGAAAATTGGGACACTAATGAACTGTTGGTGGAATTGTGAACTTATGCCCAAATATTTATAGCAGCTTTTTTCTAGTGGCAAGGAATTGGAAATTGAGGAGATGCCAATCAGTTGGGTAATGACTGAACAATTTGTGGTGTATGTTTGTGATGGCATGCTATTTTGCTATAAGAAATGATGAGCTAGATACTTTCAGACAAACCTGGAGAGACTTACATGAATTGACGCAACTCAACTGAATTCATTTTTAAAGATTCATTTCAGGGGGCTTTTCTTGCTTCTTGCCCTTGGTGAGTTTTTTTTTGGGGGGGATATGGAGTAGGGGCAGGGTGACTGCCAGAATTGCTAGTTATATTGCTCTGCCAGTTAGTGCCCTGGAGTAATTTAACATTTGGTTTACCAATGGCCCAGATGGATAATGTATTTCTGAAAATGATCCAGCATGATGTCTATAAAGTGCTTTAAAATCCTCTGTTGCAAAATTGCTCAGCAAAATACGCAAATATAAATAGCTCGCATCATCCTTGCATATGCTTTTATTGTTTTACAGCTGTAATTTATACAACTGAAGCATTTGGGGTGTTGCCCCTTACTGGCCTGTTTTTGAGAGTTATAACTAACTACCAGTGCTGTATTTCTTTGACACCAGTAGGGAGGCATTGTCTTAGTGGACAGATCATTGTGATTATATGAAAAACAACTGTTCTAAATTTAGTGATTTCCATTTACATACTAGTAGCAATAGGACTTGGCTCCTAACTGCCCCCCTATACTAATGGTAGGCCATCATGGATCTTCATGTCTGGATACTGAGCAAGAAAACCAGAGTATAATTTCCATTTTATCAGTGAGGATCAAGTCCTTAGTTCAGGGGTCAGCAAACTATCCCTCCCTCCACCCAGATCTATGTGACTGCAATGGTTATAAAATCCATTCTTAGCTCATTGAATCATAGGAAAACAGAGTGCCATTTTAAATGATGTAAAAACCATTCTTAGCTTGTGGATTGTTTAAAATCGGACAGTGGGATGGATTTGGCCCATGGGATATAGTTTGTTGACCCCTGCCTTGGTGGAATAACTTCAGATACTGCATAACGTAGTTGTTTTCTCATCTGTATCCTACTAAAAATCACACTGAAAAATTAGTTTTATTTGCCTTTGTACTGCAAACTCTAATATTTAATCATAGGTAAATAGAAAAAGCCCTAATGTGTTGCCCCTCTGGCCAACAGACCTTTTCTGATTAGCAACTGCTTGTAATGTAAATGGTAAATATTATAGTAATTTGAGGAGGTGATGTCATTTTAGGTATATGAAATATACCTTAATATAGAACACTGGAATTGGTGCATATTTTTATCCTGGCCCAATTCATGTTGCTTTTTGATATATGTTGGGATGGAGAGGGGGGAAGAAATTGAGATCAGTATTTTTTTAAAGTACCACAAATTAATATTTGTTGAATGCAATAGAATATATTCTATGGATATGCAACCTAAATAAAATAGAATGCATTCATCAGGGAATAAATGTATGTGAAAACTTAATCTGTTGTTTTAGCACATGCTCAAGCAAATATCACAGGTATGGTACTTAATTTGCTTTTTCTCTTCTGTCTGAGTGTTTCATAGTAAAAGTTCTCCAAAATTATGCTTGTAGGAACAGTTTGGAAAGTGATTTATCTCCAAATGACACAATAAACAATACTGTATTGAACTTTATCCAAGGAAATGCTCTAGGGTAAATAGCCTAATGTAATTGAAAATAACCTCAAGGCTTAGTCTTTATGTAATGAAAGAGTTCTTGGTGTTTAATTTTATATAGCTAATCATTAAAATCAGTTTAAGAACTGTTCATTAAAAACAAGTGATCTCCATAGAGATTTATTACAGCAACAGCCTCGATAATAACTGGAGAATACTCTGCTGTTTATTTAATGGCCTGTTTCTTATTAAGGTGTAATTCACTGTTTTATTCAGTGGTAAAGATCAGATTACCTAGAAAGAAAAGAGCTTCTCTTATGTATTATACTTGGCTATAGTGGATTTCATTCTTACATTTCATTCCTGTGCTATGTGGTTTATTGTACTTTATTTTTGAATTGCATATTTTTTATTTGTTCCACTTAATTTTTTTCATATTAATAACCTTTGAGGGGACATTAGAACCTTGTCTTGCCATAGAAAAATACTCCCTCTTTTGGAGAACAAATGCATGTGTAATGGGTATCATACTTAACTCTGGAATCAGATTACTGGGGTTCACTGTCAAGGGGACAAATAATGGCTTGAGCCCCCTCTGTAGTACCTATTCAGCTAGTGAGTAGTAGACCAGGCAAGAACCATAAATTGAAGAGCAAATCATTTAATTAGAACAGAATAGCAAAACAAATAATGGGGGGAAATCCTGCTGTAGGCTCATTCCTTGTCCTTTTTTATAAATGAGTAGTTTCTCACATACTCGCAAACTGATGGGGAAGGGAAACTCCTCAGAAAGCTCGTGTTCTGAGGTAGGAAGGGGCTTCAGTGCTTTGTTCTTTGCATCATGCCTAGGAAAACCTCCTCTGCCTAACTTCTCACAGTTCTGTGTCCCAGCATCCCTTGTGCACTACTACTGCTGTTGACCTCACTTCTGAAGCCATCATCTCTGGAAGCTCCCTCCTACTGCTATTCAAACTGTCCCAAGTACTGCCACTCTCTGCCTCCCAAATTGCTTGTTCATTGTTCTCTACCACACCACCTTGCTGGGAGAGGAATAGCTTCCAGCTTCTTAGCTAGAAGATCATTCTAGCCCGCCCTCCACTCCTCATAGCCACTGCTTTGGAGAATTGTCAGTGTTCTGTCAGAGACATTGAATGCTGTTGGTGAGTGGGGCTTATTCACCTTCTTTTCCTATACTGGACTCCTTTGGCAATCTGATGAAGCCCATGAGCCCCTTCTCAGAATAATCTTTTAAAATGCATAAAATAGGGGCAGCTAGGTGGCACAGTGGATAGTGCACCAGTCCTAGAGTCAGGAGGACCTGAGTTCAAATCCAGCCTCAGACACATAACACTCACTAGCTGTGTGACTCTGGGCAAGTCACTTAACCCCAATTGCCTCACCAAAAACAAAAACAGAAAAACAAATAAAATTATAGAATAAAATACATAGACTTACAAAGGAAAACAATTATATTGAAAAGCAGTTATCAAAATATATGGGCTTAAAGAGATAATAGTTTTATATACTGACTATTCAATCTGATCCAGAAAGGGCTTTCTCCCTACTTAGCTTTATTCGCTGTTGGGATGAACAACAACGCAATAGATAAAAGCAAAATATATATATGTCTTGGGAATAGTCAACACATTTTCACCTTTGTCTTTAACCTGCCTCATAGAGAGACCTAATTGGAGAACAAAAGGTCAGATAGAGAATTGTATGACTTTTTTTCCTTGCCCTGCTCAATGGAAGATTCCCAGCTCTTACTCCCAGCTGAGTTAGAGCAAGTAAATTCTTTTCATCTCTTCTCTGACTCAGGGTGTAGGTAGTATGTTCCTACTGTGTTTGCTCTTCTTTCTTCCCTCCTCTCCCTACTTCTGCAATTCCCTTTTTCAGTACTGGAACCACTACTACTAGAAATGGTGTGTTAGACTACTCAGTATAGACTACTCACAATCCCAGTAACTTTCCAAACCAAATACTCCCTCCCTGGCCGAAACTCTTGCATATGTATCGTCTCCCCTCATTAGAGTGTGCTTCTTGAAGGTAAAGACTGCCTGACTTTTGTTTTTGTATCCCTAGCACTTAGCTCAGTGTTTAGCACATAGTATGCACTTAATAAATGCTTTTCCATGTATTCATTTTTCATAAAGTGTTTTTTTCTTATTCTAACTTAACAAAGAAAAGATTGTTTTACTTAAAAAAAACAGGAAGTGAGAGATTTTTGATTTATAAAATTAGTCAGGCTTAAATCTGAAATCTTTTAAAGCTGAAATCTTTTCAATGTCCCTGTTCATCAATTCAACAAAAATCCTTATCATTATACATTATTTTATATATTTTCCCGAACTCTTTTCAAATGATGTTATCTGTGCTGCTTGTAAAAAATATAGTTTGGTTTCTATGGTTTATTTGGTCCAGATCCACATGGAAAGGCAGCTAAGTGGTGCAATGGATAGAGTGCTGTCCCTGGGGTAAGAAGACTCATCTTTATGAGTTCAAATCTGGCCTCGAACACTTACTAGCTGTGTGACCTTGAGCAGGTTACTTAACCCTGTTTGCCTCATTTTCCTCATCCGCAAAATGAATTGGAAAAGGAAATGAGAAATCACTCCACTATCTTTGCTAAGAAAACCACAGATGGGGTCAGGAAGAGTCTGAAACGACTGAACGACAATGACACATAGGGACTCATTGTAGTGATACTGGTGGTAGCTCATATTTTTTATTCATTCATTTTAAGTCTTATTGTTGTCCTTTGTGTTTATAGTCATTTCTCCTTCTCCGTCTATCCCACCCTCATTGAATCCTTTCCTATTATTAAGAAAAATATATGAGCAAAGCCAACTTTCACAGGAACCTATTTAACAGTGTATACTACATTAGGTTGGTTAGTAGCATTTTTTTTAAATACTTTTACTTATTTTGTCAAGTATTTCCTGATTACGTATAATTTTTAACATT